GCAGATGTAGAAGTTCCAGTATAACGAACTTATCTAGAATGGCGACGCTAATTGACCTGCCAGTGTGAAGTTATGGGCTGTGAATTTTATTCGGTGGCGAGTCACATTCGCGACGTTGCAGTGTTGTTAAACGGACATTTGTGGCTTTTTATAGGGAGAACGCTTGCCAGGCGAAAACCCACCACGTCCTGAAACACTGTCGCCAATCCATTGGATGGCAAGTTGTAACTGGCTATGTTTCTGGTTGAACGTTTGTTTGCTCGGTTATTCGCAGTCAGGTTGCGTCCCATTTTTCTGTTGGCTGATGCGTTAGCCGGGTGCCTATTGCGTTCCTGGGTCCTGTTCTGTGCCCGATTGGTAGGTCGGGAACTAAACATTCTTTTTGAATATGCTGTGTTGATCCTCTGCAGAACCACGTGAAGTCTCCGAGGGATATACATTGAAATATGTTGAGTTGTTGTTGAAGTCTTGAAGGATAGAATATGGTTCCGAAGAAAGAATCGCAGATCCCCCGGGGTATGTTGTAAAATTGATTAGAAATATAGGAAACCACGGCCAATTGAGCGGTCAACGCGGATTGAAGAGCTCATAATGACCAATTGTTCTGGCTTTGTATCGCAGGAGAATGTGCCTTCCGAAGTCAAAAGTGATTCTCCAGGCAAGAGTTATGTGGAAGAGATAGTGGTAGGCAAACTGAACCCAAAGGTTCAAGCCCCGAAAAAATTGTGTCTGTGCATGATGACGAATGATTTGTCCGGTTAGTAAGTTGTAAAAACGGTTGATAACCTTCCGCTCATGTTCAGATAAAGGAACTGTGTGGTATCAAGAAGTTCGCGCTGCTCTGCCCGTCAGAGCGTTGTCAAACGGACTCTTACGGAGTTTGCTAACTGTGAGAACCGCTAGCGTTAGATCGCATTTCCCGAGGTGGTAACATCTTAACTTTCGGGAGCTTCCAGTAGGTGTAGTTACATCTAAGACAGCGCAGCCACAATCTCTGAAATACTTGGGCCGCATCAGTTAGGTCTGGACGATGTAAATAAACAAGATTAATTATCCCTCATTGGTGAGGGAAAAGCTGCTATCAGATTGCCAAAAAGCCTGATACGGTTTACTCTCACTGACGCCCAGGAAAAATTTACGCTTGCAAATGAACAGCATAAGAACATGTGTAGTCTAGCTGCCTTTAAATCCGTGTGTGTGCCTCGAAAGCATGACATTTTCGTGGATCGCGCGGCTTTCCCTTTGTCAGTTTTGCAGCACATCACGTACAGTTCGTTTAACATTTCCTTACCTCAAATCGCCACGAATTTCTTCACTTTTGCATTATCAATTTTAGCTCGAAAAATGGGTCAGGAATCTTATCGATTGGCTACATTGGGGATGTGTACTATAGCATGTGTGCTGAGTCTAGCCACAATTGCCTTGACCATCGGGTCTTTGAGTTGGCAGGGTTTGATCGTGTATTACCCACAGTATAAAAGCGGAGAAAATGTAAGCTGCATATTCCAAGTCTCTCGTCGTGAAGGCTTCTTCCATACTTGCTACACCAGACTTCCAGGTAAGTTTATACATTGCAAGATATTCCTATCGCATCTCATTGATTATTCCTTATCGGTAGTATGTATTTCGGTCAACAAATACTTCACATAACCCGAAGCAAAGTGACCGTCTTGCTACACAAGTAACGCAAATCTAACCTCAGCTGGCAGATCGATCGTCAGCAGGTAAACAGGTGGCACATCATGATGCCGGTGCAATGGAGCAATGGTTTATAATGGGTAAAAATGAAGCTGCTTGACAAGTCCCGCAGGACGGTTAGGGTGTGAATTACAAGATGGACACAGGATCGATAAAAAGAATGCGCAATTGCATGACTCACCAAGAGGTTTGCAGTAGCACAGATGCGAGTATTCGTGTCTGGAGTTTAAGGAGAGTCTGTGACTAAACCTTAAAGCTCAGGGTTTCCCAAGGGTTGCTACCGCAGTCTGTACAGTGGGTCAGAAGGCCTGTATGAAGATCCTTAATAGTCTGTCTTATATTGACTGGAAAGTGGTAAAATAAGGATTCTGATTCGATCCAGTTATGAAATACCTATGCAGTAGCAAGCGCGCCATGTATTGCGCCTGCATAAGAACAAGTACAAAGTAGACAGCTGTATCATTACCGAAGACTTCGGGGACAATCTCCTAATGTATATGTTATGCACACGGCGTTTGGTTTTTGACACAAAGGCTTCTTTAGGCAAAAGAAATGAGCTTTACATTGGTTAACCTTTATTTATCAAATGGACCTAAGTGAGCGACCATATTTTACTTTTCTCACTCTTTATCTCAATGATCACTGAACCCCAGTGTCTTTCTGAACGTTTACGCTAGATAATTAATTTTAATTTTACACTGATGTTACTTATCAAACTATTCATCTAGGCAGACATTCGATAGATGACCCAGACATATTTTGATTTCATCATATTCACCTCAACCATCCTACGGGACGTGTCAAGCACTTGCTTTTATCCCGTGATAAATCATTGTTCATTGTTCATTGTAATGACCAACAGCTTGTCCTATGGAATGACATGCAGTCTCAGCTGAACCACACAACTGGCCGTCAGAATGCCTACGCTGCAACAAAATTAGCCTCAGTTGCAGCGTATTAGGATGGGTCCTAAAATAAATGACGAACCGGTGTGCTACTGAATTGTCATTGAGACGATTGCAGAGAACATAACCTCAGGGCGCAGGTGCTAAATTATTAGCTTCCATGCGCTTGAGAAATAGTGACGTTCGGGAGTTGGGACAGTAATATTGTCGGCTCGGTTGATTGCCAGCAACCATCGAGAGCATGTTAGTTGGTTTCAATCCACCCATGCAACCTCACTACAAAACAATAGCAGGAGGATACAGAAACAGATGGCACCGAACCTCATGCATAGGTGGTATAGACGGGGCAATACATTTTCTTCGGAACTACGATTAATGGTAGCAATCGAAAATTCACAAACGCCGAGAAAGCGACACCATAAAGGATTCAATGGAATCAGAACACCGATTCAGAAAACTGCTCACATTAGTAGCTTTTGAGAACGCTACCATTGGACTGCCTACCGCAAGTCCAAGTGGGATCAAGAACGAATTACATTCATGTCGAGACTTAGCGTTGCTCCGTTCACCCGCAAACCGTCAGAAAATGATTAGGTGCCAGCCTCTCATTGGCGGCATAAATTCAACCCCTTCATGCACCCTTGTCAAGCTTTTCTGACTTCCAAGAAGCTCCCATAGATGTACACTGATGCACAAATCACACTTGGTAAACTTATCGGACTGCGAATCCGTCAGAGATTTAGGGGATTGTGACCCATCACAATAACACAGTCATTGCTATGCCCGAAATAACTGACATGGAAGGCACGCTGCCAGACATACCATTGTTTGACCCGACAAACCTAGTACAGAGAATGTAGTGGCCCTGTAATTCCGCAATGACCTCCATGATGGATTCCACCGACATATCGGCAAACTCTGTCAATGCGCACGATCTCTAATTACAAACTGCTGTATTAACATGTAAACAGCCTACGTAAGGTGAAACAAAGAGAATTCCTCCTCTTCAAACAGCGGAGGAACTTACTCTGACCAGGAAGGATGCGGCGAGTGGTCTGCGACTATGGTACGCCCGAACATTTAGTTGCGTTCATTGGCCCCCTAACCCTGTGGAATGTGCTGTCTACCCCACAATTTTCACTCATATAACCTTTACGTCACAAACTGTATTGAAAGAAGCTCAGCTCGCTCGGAGTTGACAATATTCACCCCAAGTCACTTGCGGCGACGAGAAAGAGCTTAGCTGTGTCTTTGTTTTGATATTCTCGGGGTTATTTGACGAAATGTACGTGCCTGACAAGTGGAAACACTAATTGATTACTCCAATTCACAAGGAAGCTAATCGTTCCGATCCAGCCAATCACCGTTTTGTAACCCTCCTATCGGTACTTTCAAAGGTCATGCATGCCATGTTTGCCGATGCGCTAACGGCCTACTTGGAAGAGTTCATCTACCTTGCACAGGAACCGCATGCCTTCCGACGAAATGGATCGTACGCTACAACTCTGCCGTTGGCACGATGCAGCCGGACCGAGATAGTAGACACTGGTGCATAACTTGATACAAGCTAACTCGACTTCTCAAAGTCATTCAACCGGTTAGACCATGATATGCTTGTCTCCAAACTGCAAAATTTGGTATAGGTGAACTTCTCCTAGGATTGAACAGAAGTTTTCTCCTTAACGGGCGCTTAAGTGTAAGTGTGTAAATTCTTATGAGATCCCATTCAAGTCGAATGCCGAGTACCAGATATTGGTACGGGGACCACAATCTTTTGACGCATAAACAATGGATTTATCACGAATAACAATGCAAACGCTGAACAGTTTTCCGTAGGTAAATAGTGAGAGCAAAAATGAATGAATCAAAAAACGCGTAGCTGTGGACTTACCAGAAAGTACATGTGTACACATTGTTTGCATAAATTGTCTCACGTCCGGGCAACTGGAGTTAAACCACGTAATGCAGGGGGTGTAATGCATATCGAGTTTTGAATTCAGGTCATGTAAGATCGGAGATGACTGAATGCGGAAGTAAGTTTCACGGCTGGAATACATAAATGTGGAAAAAGTTCCTGCGACATATCATCCAAGTATACCGTGTCGCCATCTTCATATGATGGCCCCTCAGTAAATTGTTGTCACTGAGTTTCAACGGGGGTAGGCATGCGCGGTTGGGATCCTTGGGAATCTGACACACAGATATGATATTAGCTCGCAAAAGATGATATTGTTCACAGAATATTCTTAGTCTGGTTTGAATAGGTAAAGAACGTGGAGGAATCTTACCATTTTTGTTGCCCTCCGTATTGGATTCTAAAAAAGTCATAAGATCATGTTTTTACCAAGGGTGCCACACCTGATTGGAGCATTCTGCCTATGGCCTCAGCTAGGCGGTGAGCCTTTGTGAAAGAAGGTAGGATCAGTTCGACCAAACACCCTCTAGAGCAGGCAAAATTATTAGATGGCTTTCTTAAGTGCCTTCTCTGCCTGTTCTGAGCATCAAAGAGTTTCATGCACGAGCACCCGAACATCGCTGTCATTAGAAGCAAGCTGCATTACGTGTTCACCCGGTTGAGATTTGTGGGTGCTCTGGTGGCGTATGCTCATTGCCTTGCACTTGACAGAGTTAAACTCGAGCATGTTTGCGCCGACCATTCGTAATCCGTGTTGAAATCACCTTACAGTGCAATGCGATCGTCCATTGGTTTGATTTCCCGCCAACTCTGGAAATCGTTTCCAAAGAGGCTTCGATGTCAACACTCCGGTGTGGTTGTTTATGAACAGGAAGGATAGCCTTGATTCTAGTACCGAGCTTTGGGGCACGCAACAGCGAACGTCTGTCGGGTAGGAGAGGGTGCTGAGAACATGTAAATTCAAGCGTTGTTGGAGTAGGAATAACAGTGTTCAACCCAGGAGAGCGTCACCGATCCCGTAGCTCCGAAGCTTGTAAAAGAGAATGCGGAGATTTAGCCGAACAAATCCCTTTGAGAAATCTAGGTAGGCGGCATCGACTCCCTCTGCAGTATGGATGTATTCTGTTGGGGCTGGCACTGGCTAAGTAAAGAATTTTGGTACAAGCACGGTTTTGGCGAAATCCATACTGCTCCTGCACAGTCATTTTGCACCTTGATTAATATCCCATGAGTGTTTCTACAAAGACAAGTTCCATGAGGTTAACAAATACAGGAAGAGGAGTAGTCGGGCGGCGGTTTGCGGATATAGCACCATTGTTTTCCTTGTAAATGGCGGCGACTGGTTTACGCTTCCACATAGTCGGGACTTGCATCTCGTCGAGACAGCGCTGGAAAACCTGAGTTAATTGTTCAACTAAGATTGTGGCATCTACCATCAAAGACTTGGGGCGTATGTCATTCACACATTTGGTACTGTATTGTCGTAATGGCATCAGACTCTTTAGCACATCCGAGGATTTAAAGGAGATACAGTTAAGTCCTAGTGATGATGTGATATGTGTGAAAGTGGTATGAGGTGGCGAAGCGTTCTAGAAAGTACCAGTGAATCGATGTCTAACAGAATTAGTTGCTCTTGAGCATTTGTTCGTTATTAAGTTAGCTATATTTATTAGTTAATCAAAGCAATCGAAGTGTTGAATTGATACGACTTAACATGTTCCGGTTTCTAACCTTCGCAAACTTTATCATTGTCTTTTTCCACACCCTACCCCATGATAACCAGGTGACCACAATATCAATCGTTTGGGTCTAAAGTGCAGACAAAATGATTATGGAAAACCATCTAACTTTGCGGGCTGGAGGGATTCGGCATACTACGAGCTAATCAGTAAGTATCCCCATTAACTTATTATGACTGAAAATAAGTTTTATCAAGACAACGATAAGACGAGCCTCTCAAGATGGTACCATTTCTTGTTATCTGATCACTTGCAACTAGCAAAGTACTTAAATCATATGAGAGCAGCAAACGATAGTTTTGCACTTAGTCATAAAAAAGCACACAGACACAAAACAACAAGTGGTTGAGCTGGAACAAAGAGCATGAACTCTAAGGAAGCTTTAGGCCTACCGGCAATTGCTTCCGCATACCTGGTAAGAGTCACGGCCTCGGCAAACGTCAACACCGTGGCGTTTTCGTTTTGTTGGGCAACCGACAATGTTGACTCGGGATTAACCAGATGGGCTTTACCGAAATGTGGTCTAGCGATAACTGACGCCGATAGTTTACGTGCTGCTCGTTTTCCGGTTGCTTGTTGCACCGTTATCTTAGCAATCCGCTTCGGAATATGCTCTCCAATCCGCCTACTCAGACAACGATCTGTACTGCCAACAAAAGTGCTTCCGCAGCTACAAACGAATTGACAAATGAAAGGAGTTGTAGCAGAGATCGGTTGAGTAGATTCTACTGGATGCATCTGCAACTTTTTAATCGCCCAAATAGGATAGAGTATGGCAGCATGGGTTTTACGGCAAATGGTTGTGTTCGATCGTCGTTCAATTTGTGCCTTCACGATATCACCTTTAAAGAGTGCCTGTAAATAAACCGGCGTATTGGGGACAGTAAGTGCCCTTGGTATTTTTTCCTCGAGTGAATGCTTTTGGATATTCATTGGCCCAAAATGTCAGTGTGATGATCGACAGCTCCGATTTCACGGTCGGCACTGCGTTTTCTACGGCATAGATTAAACAGCGTCTAAACAAGGCGACGCTTTTATTGGAGTGGCGCGAACCTGTAGTGGTTCTCATACAGTCCAGTCCGAGTGGTTTTCTGTAAACAGCGCTTTGTCGAAGCATTTGCCGAAACCAAAACGCCAGGATGCTAAGTTTGCCGACAACGTGACCCTTAAATGTAACCGTCCTAATCTTTGTATACAAAAGCTATCGACAGAAGCGCCAAAGCTTCCTTGGAGTTGTTTCAGTTTTGCTGCTCCCAACACACACCTCACGATCGATTTCGTCCACAGTTGGCCTCATCAGGTGGGGATAGCCTTGCTTGGGGTTCAGGACCTTTGCCATAGTTCAACCACCTGTTGTTGGTGTATGTGATTTTTTCTGAGTAAGTGTAAAATGATCCTTATCCTCTCGCAATTAATTTATACATGTTGTTAGTTTGCAAGTGATCAGATAACACCAAATAACTGCTCGTCTTCTCATTGTTGTGTTCAAACGGATACAGGGAACTCCACGCTTAAGTTTCTGAAGCAGAGACTCTCTAGCGACACCAATGAACTCTTTGATGAAAATGTGTTTTTTTTCATTTTATTCACACTCCAGTAAACCAAACGCACATACATAGGCCCATAGGTATCAGTTTGAGTCGTTAGGTCCACCTTGTTTCCCCGTTTGTGGGTATTAGTAGACAACAAGTCAAGTCAAGAATTGGTTTTTATGCACCTATGAAGAGTGCAAGTGGTAGTGTCCACTTGCTACATGAAGAACCAAGTTGTGACGTTGAATTCGGAAAGCGGTGTTGATGCAACATGGAACAAGGAGGCGACGGAATTTCTGCTGGAAGCTTTGAGAGTTGAAGGTTTAGCGATTTAGGACCTCAGATCATCATCGTCCCTGCAGTAAGTCGTAAATGAGTTAACCACTCACTAATCCATATGGTAGTACCGTGGCTGTTTAGTCCAGCAAGATTGAAAGCTTCTCAGAAGGAAAAATTGTTATTTCGGAAAGCGAAGACCCAACTTGAGGTTCTAGGGATCAACTAGAACCTCAGCGCCAGCGGAGTTACAGTGCTCCCAATGGTATGGTTGAGAACAAACAGAATTGGATAATACAACCCAACTGCTGAACTCAACCATTTTATCGGTACTGCAACAAACGAGGAATGTTTCGTAAGGTTGATTTATAATGCCTGAAGATACATCAAACTGCTGCTGCTGCTGCGTAGATATTTGCAACCGCGTAAAATTATACAAACAAAGCAAAACGTGAAAGCGATGAACTTCAGTTTCAACTGAGCAGGCTAACATCCTTCAATGAGAAGACCAGGTACTTTCATGATAGATATACGTTTCTGTGCAGACAGAACACAATCAACAGGAACGACAAGTGTGTGGATGACACTCGCAAATATTTGTATAGTACAATACCTGAAAAGGATTAGTCAGTCGAGTATACTAGAATACAGGCAAGCGAGTGTACAGTCACCCCACATAGCGCTGTGATGTCCTTGATCACGTCGTGATTAGGCTAGGGCAATTATAAACTAATAAAGGAATATATTGGCCAGCACCTAATCGGCCGTGGAAGGAAACCGGCTAATTTTGATTCATCAAATCATAATAGTGACACATGGGTGGCCCATGGCCAATTACTGCATTGCTGCTAGCAGAACACGTGGGAGAGAGAAAGCTCAAGTGTGGATATCCAGAAAAAGTTCTCTGCCTACATTTGTAAGAGTAGAGAGGATGTCGTACATGAAGACCGCCCAACTTCTCATGCCCTCAGAGTAGTCACCGTTCAGCAGAAACTCGATTTGTTCGCGACTGACTGAGCATGTAAAATTGACTCGATTATCGATCGGAACACTTGTCTAGGGGGAGACCTGATAATCAGGTCTGTGCTCCTTACGTTTATCGTCTGGAAGTGTACACGTTACTTTTTGTATGCTTCAATGTTCGTATGAGTCAGGCGGACGTCATGTTCCAATTTCAGCATGGCGACGACTGGCGCTGACGGCCATTATCTTCGCTGTATCGTTTGCATTGGTTGGCCTCATTTTGACTGCCTTCTTCTTAAAGAATTGGATGAAAATAGAGAGCCCGGAGGAGTTTCAAACGTACCAGCGGTTGGTGGCAGCGATATTATTCCTCTCTTCAGGTAAGTCCAAGCCCTTTCATTTCACTATCTATTATAGGCATACCTAAGCGAGTGATGATCATTATCTAGTTATCTAGGGATGGAAGGATCAGAAAGCAAATGATACGAAGTGTTAGAAAAAGTAAAATCAAGTATAATACTTAACTACACACTAATATGTACACAAATTTGAATAGATGTTAACGGTTCATCCATACAAATCATGCAGTTATCGTGGTATTTGCATCTGTCTGACTGCCCTGACCAAAAGGGGCAGCAAAATATGACTAACGAAGTCGACATATTTCAATGTGTTTGTTGTGTATCGAATCGTGGCTGTTAGACATTGTGGCTTAATCATTCCCTGTTGTAACCGAGACTATTTTGGTTGTAACGCGTACGCTTGTATACGCTTCCTAGTCGAAGAAAAAGATTCGGCTCTGGCGACATGAGCCCAGCGTGCACGAGAAGATGATCAAGTTCGGAGTTTGCAAGCAATCGGCTGACCATTGGGAAGAGCAACACTCAAATATTTCCAATCGGCTGGCCTGTTTGTTGGGCAACCTTCCCCTTTTTGTCAGGTCAGGCGAAGCAGTATGTAACGGAAGTGGCATTTTATGGCGAATGGGAGCGATAATCAAGTTAGCAGAAACACGAGTAGGGGGATAATTGCGGTCACACTTCCTGATGTCGCCTCAAGTGGTTCAGCCATAGTGGGAATAGTGCAGGCATTTTCTTCTGCATCATGGTATTATATGAAAATCGAAATCGGCATACACGAGTATCGCACAACACCCCAGTGAAACATGAGCACATGCAGACACTGCAGCGACTAATTAATAACCATCAAATTCTGCTTACTCGTTCGGACAAAGGCTTCGGCATTATTATCCTAAACAGAGCAGACCACCCCAACAAGATAGGTGAAATATTGGCAGATAATATGAAATTCTTGAAAGTCATTGGTAAACGAGACAAAACAAAGCAGACCGAAAATCAACTGTGCGTCTGTCGCAAAAAGCTTAAGAATGGTGGTTATATCAATGAATCGGTCTATGGAAGTCTACGCCCCGTGGGCACGGTTATTTCAAGGCTTTGCGGCCTTCCTTAAACCCACGAGCCTAACTGTCCTCTTCGCCCGGTATTGGACATGAGAAACTTCCCGTACCACTCGATTGCTCTTTGTTTGGTGGAACTTCTTGAGCCTGTGCGTAGACGAGTCGCTGTACATACCCCAAAGGATACTTGAGTTTGTAGATGCCGTGCGTGATATCCACGTCACTAACCAAACGATGTGCTCTCCTGTAGTCATTTCACTGTTCATAAATGTGCCGTTATTTGAAACGATTGAGCTCATTCTCAACTTTGTTGACGAGTACCACCTTAATATTAGCATACCAACTCTGGCCCTGAAGGAATTACTGCTCAGGTGTACATTTACTGTTCAGTTCCTATTCAAGGGGATATATACCGGCAGCGCGATGGAGTTGCAATGGGTTCGCCGCTAGGACCATTCCTCGCTGATGTCTTCATGGGTATGTTGGAACAAGGTAAATTGAAAGCGGTCATCAGCAACGTCAACTTATACCACCGTTAAGTAGACGACATCTTCATCCCACTTGACGCCTCTGGTAACCTTGAGGAGCTGATCAGTGTATTTAACCCGGCTCACAATGCAATACAATTCACCTATGAGGTATAAGAAAACGGCGATTTTCATTTTCTTGATGTAGCTCTAAAGTGATTTGATGATGGTGCAATTCAACGTCGGGTTTAGCAAAAGTGCACTTATAGTGGAGAGTACACAAACTTTCATGGATTTATGCCGCTTCAGGTTAAGAGAATCTTGGTCCTCAGTCTCGTGAACCGGGCCGAAATCATCTGCTCGACGGATATTCTTTTTGAAGAGTTGTAGCTAATACGATCGACGCTTAAGGAGAATGGCTACCCAGAGAATTCTATTAATGCCAATATGGGGCGAAATCGGGAGGCACCTACTGTCCTGACGGCGGAACGGAAACCTATATTCCTCCAACTGCCTTACAAAGAGGAAATAGTATCAGAGAATCCATCCCTGCCGTCTCTCGTACACACTAAGGAATATCTTCCCAGCGGCAAGGTTGTAAATCCGGCTCAGCAGCAGCCATTGGTGATACTAAACCTCAAGGATAAACTGCCTGTCCACACCAAATTAATGTGTGTTTACTACTTCACCTGTTCCTATGGAGCAGGTTACATTGGTCGTACGACAAGGCGCTTATCTGAAGGGCGAGGATACACCATCCGGCCCGGCTCGGAAATGGAGGCCAAATGGCCACCAACTCTGCCATCGCCTGGCAGCTTGCGGATACGGGTCACGCCACCAAGTCGGCTGATTCATTCAAAGTAATCTATCAGACCTCAGAAACTCGAGCAAAGTATTTCCATAATCGGATATTAGACGCCGCAGAAGCCTTTGCTATACGGTTGTACGAAGCATCTCTATGCATGCAAAAAAGGTTCACACACGCTCTGAGTTTACCTTGGCCAGTACGGGTTGTAGTTGACCTGTACGAGCAAGCGACTACAAGTGGAACCTGAGCGATGGTTTGTCATAGCGCACTAGAATCAATTTTGCTGACTGACGACCCGTTTGGTCTGTACACCAAATTTTGATTTTCATGTAATTGTAAAATTCCTGAGAAGCAACTACCGAAAGCATACTTTCGCTTACACAGATTTGATCAATCAATGGGTTTTTTCAACTGATTCATGTCATTAATAGATAGGCCCACAGCGGTGACGATGGGGAGTTGGGCCGCACTTGTTACTTGATCCGCGCATCGACGCTCGTCACAGTGACTGCGCTAAGATCGTTCGCCACGTACTTGAGAGTTCTACCACCCCATTCCATTCACGCAGATTTCGGATTTGGTACTTTTCAACGCAAGCATAACCAGCCTCTAGGGACTTGATTGCAAAGCAATCCTAATAATCTAGAGAATATTTAAATCGAGTTAGTGCCTAGTATCGAGCGAATGCATCACCAAGGCAGAGTCCCTCAGGAATGTCCTGTGTTCAACCTCGTTCCTCGTTGGTCGCAAAATACTCCTTTGTGAACTAAAATCAGTGTGCGCAGCTCTCCCGCAGCTTGACATACATATACATGTGTACAGCTTTATATTTAACTTAGTATACGCAGTTGTCCTACACGTGGCATCGGTGCTAAACGTAGTGTTTAGTCTCTCTAGAAGATCACTTCTATACTCTTCTTGGTCAGTATGCACTGAACAGCTTCACGGTTCTTTCCTTGTACGGAATTCTTGCCGTCCGTATGCACTTCCTCGTGGGTCATGACTGTGGGTTTAACACTTTATGTAAGCTGTTTGACTAGTCGCCGTGAGCAACCACTGTCCAATGGTTTCCTCATAGTGCATTTACGCGTAACACTGTCTTTCTTCATCCTGCACAACGTCTGTGCACTTTGGAACAGCTCTGAGGCTAGACCCGCGTAAAGATGTTTCGCATTGACTAGGAGTGTAGTGCAATACCCTTTGGATATCAGTCATCTTATGGATATTTTCCTTTTCAAATTACCCTCATTTCTGTGAACTAAATAGTCAAACAATGGTATTGTGCATCGATAAGACTCCAGCTCTATCGTAAAACGAATACCTTCCTTAAAGAGATTAAAGTGGTTTGTCAACTTTTGCTTTTTATCCCGTTTTACGATCCCAAAGATGTCGTCGATGCGCGGATCAAGTTGAAAAATGCAGTTCGGTCCCCCTTCGTCATCACTATGGGCTTATCTGTTAATACTGTGATGCTCAAGGAAAAACCTAGACTATTCCCCACTGTGGCTGCGCCCAGACTTAGGACTGCAATAATCCCTTTGCTTATGTGTATTCTATCGCAATCATCATCCCTGTTTACTATAACATGCCGCTTCAACTACATACTGATTCACTGGGCCTGACGAAGATTTTGTGTTAAAAGCAAAATGGTGCCCAGCAAACAGGCCAACCGATTGTTCGCAAACCTCATTGAACTCGATCAGCTTCTCGATCGGTTCCAGGTGTATTCTACGATTTAGAAGCTGATCGAAATCAGATTGACACGCTGTGTGAGACAGTAGCTCAACGGTTTCTGCCTTACTGCATGGAGAGGAACACGGGTACCACACAACCACCAGCGACTCAAAAGGAAAAGGACAGAAAGCTCTGCGGAAGCGCTTCATCCGACTCAGCCAAGGCAACACACGGTCTACACTTTGGTATCTATAGCAAAGTTCGCCTCATTATCGGCAGATGGCGTAAGTGCCAACGGAAAATGGCAGGGTGATGTAAATGCCACCCGAGGGGATCACGCAGTTGGCGGATTAGCAACGTGTCCGGGGGAGATTGAAGGAAATTGCCAGTCGTTGACGTTGTCACCGGTGACACATTGCGTAAATGTCACGCAGCAACAGTACAGGGGAACTGGAGGCCTGGAAAAGGCATCCTTGTGAAGTTTTGTGAAACGGTGAGGCTTCCAGAAGGCCAAACTCACTACATATGCAACTGACGGCGAAGCCGATGCACCGTGTCCTCAAAGATTCTTTATATCATGCGACCTGAAGTTCGGGATAAGTTGAGTCTGCAAAAAGTTACTTAGAATCGCTTGTCATGCTTAGAGTGGATCAGTAAACTATGAGCAAAGTTTGGCCCTGGTAAAGTATTACGGTTGGTTAGAGAAAGCTTAGGGCTGTATGAGAGGAACGGAAGGATTTCTTTGGCACTTGTTGTAGTTGCACGGAACGGGACATTTATGGAAGTGTGTGTTGTTATCTCCACTAAGTTAAGCTTACGAGTGCTCTCCTTACGAAACCAAACATTGGGTTTAACACGTAGGTAGCAAGATATTGATGTGCTTCTCCAGCTCAAATATTGTACCGTAGATACATTGATGGCTACAACAATCACGAATACGAACAGATAAATACCTCACCTGTTAACCAAAGCTACAGGTATATAGGATTCTGAGGGGGAGCAAGTTCCTGCTGATAACGACAGATACGGTACGTTGAGCTACCAGTTAGTAACTGAAATCACTGGCATTAGTTGCAAAATGTGCGAGGTGGTGCATTTCACCGAAAGATGCACTTCGACCCAATCCAACAGACCCATTCCGATGGGCGGCGTAGGTTTGGCGGTCAAATAAGATGGCAAGTTAAAATGGATGAACCTAATGGTATGCGTCTCGTGGATGTTGCAAGACATTGTGCGCTTTTGAAAGTCAGCGAGAGATGAACGGGAAATGGGATGAACACTTTGATACTTAGGATGCCACGGTGCTATTATTTTGAAGGCTACCTATCGATAAGTAGTCCCACTTAATACGTCCTCGAGGTGAGACGTTAAAGTCTGTCTCCCATCGTTGAGTCAGTACTACTTCTTAGTTGCTCAAATGCAGTTTAGAAGAACGCTAATTTAAATAGCTATGTTACTGAATTTAACATTTTCCCATTATCGTTGAACAGGTCTGCTGTATCAGTTGGGGACAATATTCCTCCATATTTTTTATCTGAGAGGATCGGTCCTGCAAACCAAGCATCTGCCATTGATTTCTACAAGCTGGGCTGAGGTAAGAAAATAATGAACTTCACACTATAATTAAAGATTCATGACGTCAGTTGTACTTTAAATAAGCATATTGTACTATCTGGTTTGGTGTGTCACAATGATCACTTACTGCTTTGTGTAACTCATAACCATTGCGAGTCCGGAGCTCAAGCTGTTGATAAACACACGTTCTCTTGCACAATGATCAGCGAAAACATAGGAGAAAGGACACTGTTGTTGGCAGGTTGGTTAACAGAAGAAGAGCATCAGGGTTTAGACCTTCTTGCACAGTTAAGGAATTGTGCAAGCCACGTATGACTAGCGTGTTGTGTAGTGCATCTCAGCTGTGCCCCTGAGGTAAGCGGCAAAAGAGTGCTTAGTGGTGACAGCAGAGCTGAACAAGTTCAGGCACAGCTGCAATACGCTGGATACGAAACTAAGTGAGAAGCACTTGAAACTATCAGTTCGTCACCCACGAAGTAATTTTCTCTTTCAACTCAATGGTTCGCACCATTTATGTTAAGCAATAGATCCTACGCATGGATTAATCGGGAGAGCCAATAACAAATTTCCAAAGCAAATGCAGCTGTGAATTGGGCTGAACAACACAATCAAATAAAGTGAGGGGGAGTGGATCACAGTGAAAATCCTGACAGGTTCAATTATGTACCGCAATATCAAGTCCCGATAAGTTTGATCTACCGGACACTTCTGTGGTGACATTGATTGGATTGAGCAATAAAAATGATTTAACACAGTAAGATAGCAGTTGCTTGACGATTCTCATGAGAGGGGCGGAAAATATAGCAGAATTGATAGAAATGCTAGCCACCAGTCTAACCGCCCGCTTTAAATGTGCTGTTGCAAAACAAGAATGGAATGTCAATGCACAAAACAGTGCTGGGAACAATTTTTGTCAACGTTTTATAGGAGAAGACAGAAATATTTACTCATATACCGCTTCCTAATATCAAGGTGACACATAAATCAAGTATGAACCTATCATAAAGATATTCCACAGTAGCGCAATGTTTGTACCGAAGTGCTAACAGCCAAGAGTGATATTTACTTTTTCGTGTAGATATCCAAAATAAGGGAGGAAACAACTGATTTTGAGAGAGCGCTAGGATTGGCAAAGTAATTCCGTTGGCTGTCAAGACGGCTGTACGGTTCACTCAGTTTCAGGCAGCTATGACTGTGGCTGGTATTGTGGCTGAGCTTCAGTATATGGCAGCGTACGTGATTCCGGTCACTCAATATTTTGTATAGCAATACTGATACTGATACTGATACTGTATTTAAGAGCAAGTAGAAAGGTTTCTGTACAACTCTATCGAATTACGAAAAATCAAAATTTACTTGTGAATTATCAGCAGTTGTGTCTGGTCCGTTAATCGTTTATCCGTGTTCGGTTAGAAATTTGTACTAGCGTCATTATTTCCGGACATACAATGTATTCTTTTGGCACAGTATGTGCATCGTTTCACAAAAGCACAGGTTTGCAAAATAATCGTCGATACGGGTTTTAAAACACTTCACAGAATCGGCCTCTATTAATCCTTCAGGTAGTGTATTCCATAAGTTTACGATTCTTCGTTCGATACAAAGCTGATGTGATACTTTGTTCATGCTGGGGACCCTGAGTTTGTAACGATGTCCTCGGGTGTTACAGGGTTCTCGCAGGTGAAATGTTGGCCGCAGTATGGGGAAGTGATTCAAGTGTAGTACTCGATGGGTCATAATAAGATCAATTCTTACTCGGCGATAGGAGAGTGTGTAGAGTCCGAGCTTTTCACAACGTTTTTCATATGGAAGTTTTCGTAGACTTGGTATCATTCTAGTTGCGATATGCTGTATTTTCTCCAATTTTTCAGTTTCCCACTGGGTTATCGGATGGTAAGCTGGGGCACCGTATTCAAGGATTGGTCTAATGAGCGAGGTGAATAGACGAGGGACGGTTTCTTCGGACCATGTGGAGAAACTGCGTCGTAATGCCCAGAGCATACGAAGTCCCGCACGGTACAATTTCTCTGTATTTTCTAGTGATCTTAAATCATGTCGTGAGAGAACTCCTAAGTCTCTGACAGATGTGTTGGGATGGAGCAACTGGCCGTCCAAGGTGTATGATCGAGTGGCTGGACGTCTGGTGATACTGATGAACTCCGACTTGCTTGCGTTAAGAGGGAGTTGCATTTCAGTGGACCACGTTGACAGTCGCTCTAAGTCATGCTGGAGGCGAGCGCAGTCGTCCTGGTTTTCAATGATCCTCCAGATTTTCAAATCATCTGCAAACAGGACACATGGTGACTGGAGCTGCTGCGGAAGATCGTTGATATGAATAAGAAATAATGCTGGCCCAAGTACAGTTCCTTGAGGCACACCACTGGTCGATGGGAACCATTCTGTCAGATAGTCATTGACCTGTACTCTAAACCTTCGTCCCACAATAAACTCTTGTATCCACAGAAGTAACGTGTCACCGATTCCGTATGTCCTCAGTTTACGAAGGAGTACCTCGTGGTTCACTCTATCAAACGCCTTACTAAAGTCGATGTACACCACGTCAACATCCTTCTGTTCATTGAGAGCTCGAACCCACTGGTGGTTAGCGTACATCAAGTTGGTGATGCAGGATCGCCCTTTCGTAAAGCCGTGTTGCGCTGGCGTCAATATGTCCATCGATTCGAAGAACGACAGCAGACATTTTTTCACAACCTTCTCGAGAACTTTGGATAATACCGAAGTCAAACAGATCGGTCTATAGTTCTCTGTTTTACTCTGATCACCACCCTTGGGAAGCGGTTTAACTATCGAGCATTTCCAGTCGTTGGGGACAGATCCTTCAGAGAGCGATCTATTGAAAAGGTTTGTCACAACTGGTGAGATGATAATCGATAGGGACTTGAGTATTAGTGGGTGAAGTCCGTCTGGCCCGGGGGGCTTTGCACCATTGAGGTTGACGAGTAGCTGATGTACTTCGACTGCATCACATTGTAGGCTGTCGAGCAAGACTGGCGCAACCTGTGCTGGTACTGGAACAGCCGCCGGTTTACTGGAAAATACAGTGAGGAAGTGCGTAGCCAGGGCGTCCGCGCGCTCCGCGCTTGAAATGAGTGTCTTCCCGTCTAAGCTCTCTAAGACCGGTAGGTCGTCTCCAGGTTTCAGTTGACGTTTCAAGTAGGCAAATATTCGCTTGGGTGCAGTTGCGGCCGAGGATGCTAGTTCCTCTTCGAACTGCCGGCGTTTCTTGATCTTTGCGGCGTTACATAAGTTACGCTGTTTCTTGTACACCGCGTAATCTTCATCACAACCCGAGCTGATGTATTTATCCCAAAGTTTACGACGTCGTCGCGCTAACTGTCTGTAATCCCTATCAAACCAGTGCGGTTTGACAGGTCCGATTTTTGGATACTTAAGGGGAACGAACCGAGTACAGAGCGAGTTAAGCTTCCCCTTTATTAATGACCACCACGCCTCAAGTGACGCATCATGTGGTAGTGTCCAATCAGTCTGACTTGCGGCTTGGACAAGTCCGTTGAAGTCCGTCTTCCAATAGTTGAATGTCGGCTTCTGTTGATTGTAATATGGTAACGACAGTTCTAAGCTTGCTACAATAGAGCAGTGGTCACTGTTCGCCAGAGGTTCGATGACTCTGATCTCTTTTAGCTTCTGCTCGCAGCTCGTAAACATTAGGTCCAGACAAGATGCCGAGTACGGAGTTACGAGCGTCGGTTGGATGACATGTTGCGTTGCCCCAATTTCAATAGTCATTTTAGCGAATTGAGCCTCAACGTTGCCATGACCGGGAAGAAGTCGAACATCTGGCCAAATTATCTTAGGTAAATTTAGATCCCCCATCAGTAAGAACTGAGGGCGGCTCATGTGCTTCTGTACATGTGGTATCCAATCGCAGCAACGGTTTAATGGACTCCGGTAGATAACCCCCACAATTAGTTCTGCGCGCCTGAGACGGATTGTGCACCACAATTGCTCGCATAAACTATCCTCGCTCCGATAGGTACTGATACGTTTGCCAGATAGTGACGATTTTATGTACAACAGAACACCACCGTGAGCCTTTGATTTTCGGTCACATCGGAAACAAGAGTATCCTGACAACACGACTTCTTGGGGTATGATGTCGGAGTTCAACCATGTCTCTGCAAGTCCTAAAATGTCCGGCCGCTCCGAGACAGCGAAGCGGCACAGTTCGTCACGTTTGTTCATTAGGCTGCACACGTTGGCGAATGCGACACGGAGGTCCTGGGAGGTACTGCGGGACGTGCCTGGAGGTTGAGCAACCGATTGATCCGGGTTCGTACACCCTTCTTGATCACCCGAAAATTTACAACTTGTAAGTCAGTCTCACCTTCCTCTGTACGGCGTTTGAGCTCAATGACCGCAGTCTTCAAACGATCCCTGTCCTCGGGTTCCAAATCTCGGCGGATGTGAACTTTTATGCCTTTCAGCCTTGACAGACGAGACAGTATGAGCTGCGGCATATTAGGATTTGCAAAGGTGATCCTCAGAGGTCGACATGACTGGTTAGTTTTCTGGCCAAGTCGGATTACTTGTTTAATCGTCACACTGTCCTCGCCCACATCCAAGAGTCTATCGATGAGCCCCTGGAGGAACTCAACATCGTGATCATAACGTATCTGAGGGTTTTCATCTTTTGACTACGGTACGTGGAAGACCATGAGATTATGACGCCTCAGCGAAATCAGTGATGAACCTGTGGGAGCAGAACTAGAGGCGCTTAACTGATTGGGTAGTTGTTTATCAGCAGGTGACGTCTGAACTCGATTACGTGGGCCCTTGCGCTTCTGAATGGTCCATGGACCCTCGGTGTTCAGCAGTTCACAGACAGGCTCTGAGAAATTCACGGACCGATCAGTGAAGCGGCATTTCGTAGCTTCTGAGTCTGAGTCTTCCATCGGTGGGAAACATTGAACCTGGGGTTCGGCCGGGGTCGAAGACGCTGGTGGTGGTGCAGATCGCGGAGTGACAATAGAAGGCGAG